ATTCCCAGCCAGAACAATGTGCGGGCAGCTGGGGAATTGGGACGTGGGCACACCAGCAGAATGAATTTCCTTCTGATTATATTGTCTTCAGACACTTTACCTGGCCAGTGTGTTCCTTCAGTACACGTTGGAGATTATTCCCCCTTGCATCTGCCACAGTCTTGAAAAGTGGATTCTAGAGGTGTACCTGACATCAAGTAGTCTTCATCATATAGCATGTGCCAATTGCTCAGAAACAGGACCAAAGGCTTGTGCCTTCATATGAAATGCTTCACAGTGAAATGCACAAATTCTCACAAGTGTACAGAAATCTTATGTGTTTTTCATTAAAAATCTTCTCGTAGGAAGCACTGGGAAAATGAATATAGGCCAGATACAAGGACAGGTGTCTTTAGAATACCATGTAGTTCCATTTCTGACCCATATATAATAATCCATATCTGAAAAGTATGAACAGTCATGTAACATAAACCAGGTTAACAGGATTATTGTATTGCAACTAGAGATTTACCTTACTTGACCTCTCCTGGTGCCTGTAGACCAACTGTCTTCGTATCAAGCTACAGGAGACCTCATGGTCAGGATGTTTTTGGAGGGGCTGGCAAATGTGGAGTGCTAAAGAAACAGCCAGAGTTACTTTCAGATCCACTGCTCGGGTGCCTAGATGGGGAGTCATTGCCTTTGTGTCCTGAAGGCAGTCCAAGAAGATTCTACAGAGACCAGGCCTTGCAGGATGGAGCGCCAGATTTTGAGGCGTTTGCCCCTTTACCCTAAAGTGGCCAAGATGGTGAGCCACCTTGTGTTAGCCAGACTGCACACAGGTTGGTGTTTTTTTCCCTAGGAAAGGGTGGAGGGAGAGGACGTGGGGTGGAAGGGCACATTGGCATTTCTGGTGCAGTACTGCCACCAAGAGGAAATACTTTGCAAATCCCACCTACCCTGCACCATCACTTCCTGGGGGAGGAGAGACGAGGGTGAAGTGTTAGACAAGGACAGTGTGTCCCTAGGAGGTCAGGAGACCCACTAGGCTGGGGCGGGGGGTTGGTAAGCATGACCCAAGACTGAATTGGGTTGGGGAAGCTCCAGAGACTGGCACTGTGATAAGGATCATGGTCTAGGAGACTGGTGGGTCTGGCTCAGGAAACTAAGGCTTGGCACCTTAGTAGTGGATATGTCTGGGCAGGAGTAGAGGAAGCCCTCGGAAGGAACCCCAGCCAGAAGGCTGTAGGCATTTGGCCAAGTGCCCTTTCCCCTTGTAGCAAGAGCAGGTTTGGCCTGGACAGACCAGGGCCCTGAAAGCCTCTCTTGGGCCGAGTAAAGCCCAGCCAAACACTACTGTGGGCACGGGAGGGCTGCTGCGACTGGCAGTCCTAGAAACAGGACAGTGACCTTCTACTGTCCAGCTCAGAGATGAGATGTGGAGCCTGGCTACCCTGTGCTAAAGGGTCTGAGGCCCAGTGAAAGCAAGCAAGCAGAGTCCAGAAGGGACCAGCCCACACCAGGAAAAAGGAGCCAGGCTGAAGGAGCCCTTTGCCTGAGTTCAGTCTTATCAACTGTGGTGTCATTTGCTGGTGTCTCTAGGATCCAGGACTTCCAGACCCATCTGTGGCTTAGCAGAGCATTGCAGATTCCCTAGCCAGTAATTTGCTGCCTTTGGCATTCTTGGTCACCTTCCCCAAGACTCCCTGAGACTCACTTCAGTGATGATAAGGAATGGCCTTGGCTTCCATTCACCCTTGGATCTCCAAGGTCTCAACCCCATGCCTGCCCCCAAAGCTGGGAAATCAAGAGGTCTGAAGATGGTGCTTAAAGCTCACAGCTGTTGAGAGATACCCCCCTCCCCCATATCCACCACAGATCAAGCATGTCTCTCAAAGACAGGAACAAGGCACATACTCCTGGGCACACAGCAATTCATTTTAGACTTCAGCTGTTCTGATAGCCTGCTTCTGGAAGAACCTCTGGGGTAGCTCATGCTCTTTGCCTAGCTTTTACCTGCTGAGGAGGCTGTCTGGGAGCAAGTTTCCAGGCTCAGCTCTTCCTCCACACACACTCCTTGATTTCACCCCTCCTGGAAGGGTGTGGGAAACCCACTGCTCCTTCATTTTATACTTGTGGCCTTATGTAGGCATAGCCTTTTGGGATTGAACTTTTTGCTGAGCTCCCAGGGCCAGGTCCTGATCGACATGGTCTGATTGTTCCCTAGACCAAGGTGGTCTCAGTATACTCCTCTGGCCACCTATAGAACATGGACCCCATACAGGAAATCCCAGGAGAGTCCCTAAACGAGGACCCATGTCATACACTCATATAGTGGGAGGGAGGTTGAGGAATAGGATGCTTCTGAGCTGTGACATTCCCAACAAGTAGTGCAGAAAACAGACCTGGATCCCTTCACTCTGGAGGATGATGTCCATCTCAGTATACTGATCCTGTCCTGTTTCATTCTGTTTCTACAGCCTCTGTTGTATGGGACAGGTAGGGCTTTCTGGGATACTTTGGGGCCTGAAACCCAGATTCTCTTTGTATAGGGAGCCAAAGTAAACAAAACACAGTTCTAGCTCAAACCTGCAGTGTACCTGCATTACTCTTCCTTGTCTGGGTCTAGTACCAAATAATCAGGAAATTTTCCATCCTGTCTGAAAGATGCTACCCCCACCAAGGGGTGGCAGCTGAGCTTGTGGCCTCTGGTCCTGGGTTACCTGAGTTACCCTGAGACCCCAGGGACCTCACTGGCTGAGCTTGTTCCTGCACCAAGGGCAAGGATCCACAGGCCAGATGCCCTGGAGTTGGAGCTTCAGCTCCTGGTTTCTTAACATGGCGGCTGCCGAGGCCACGCCCCCACAGCCTGGAGAGGCCTGTATCCTGGCAGCCCAGTGCTGCGTGATGGTCAAGTTCTGTTTCTATCCACCCTGTGTCGTTTCCCCACTGATTCTGGGGGTGTTCTGGGTCTGGCCCAGAATCTTGTGGGTGCCCCAGTACCACCCTTTGTCCCTTCACAGGCCTTCTCAGCAGAAGACAGGAAGGTGCTGCAGGCTTTGCTCAAAAAGTATCCGCTTGATGGCACTGTTGCTTCAGAAGTGCCATGCATGCGTGCTTGTGAGGTTTCTCCCTCTGCCCTTTAAGGATCAAAAAAGGTTCCTGACGACTCTAAGGCCAACTAAGTCCCCAAATGGGGTTGACTGTACTGGGGTGTTGGGGGAAGTGGTATCTCTTATATTTGGATTCTTAATGGCAGTGAGACTATACCTATAACAACATCCGAAAGAATACATACGTCTGTGGATTCATCACCACATCTAAGAGTTTTAAATGTGGATATCCTGGGAACTGGGACCCTGTTTTCTCTGCACACTTTTGTATGGATACCCATATGGTTCTTTTGGGGCAGAATCCTCACTTTCTGAGGACATTGATTCCATAGCAGTAACTGTCACCAGGACCTGGATTTTCTTTCTTTTCTTTGAGTTATTACCTCTTTTCTGCATTCATCCAGCTACTTCAACCAGCTTAAGGGCTCAGGAGTAGGCCATTATGGAGGAAGTGACAGAGGCCCTGTTAGGTAAGAAGACAGGGAGGTGGTTTGCCCATGCTCACCTCCAGGAGCCTCAGTCACTCTGCCACTGAATGCCCTAGGTGGGTTGTGTGGGTTGGGGGTGGGAGGGGTGAAGTCCATAGGACAGATGAAGAGCCCAGTGGCTTCATCCACACAGTCAGATGACCTAGGTAAGGGCCATTGTTTAGCAGCCCCTCCTGGGAAGTCGTCTTTGGGAGTGTCTCTATATTCTACCTTCAGAACACCTGCTCATTCATTCAGGATTCACTTTTTCCTTAATAATAGACACATAAATATGTTTATGTGTCATACATGTGTATGCATATGTATAAATTTTCCCTCTGTATTTTTCCCCGTAACTGCCTTGGAGATGCCATGTTGGATAGAAGTTTTGCCCAATCAGAGAAAAGCCCTTACCGTTGCATGGTGACTGCTCCCAAGTTGTCTCTCTGCCTTCCAACTCCCTACCTGCAATGGGAACCACATGTAGTTTTTCTTCCTGTATGCTGCAGGGATTGCATGCAAATGAAATCTAACAGACACAGAGGGCATGCTACATTCTGCTCTCTGACCCCACAAGTCCTACATAGTACTTTATACACTTTCACATTTGGCTGCTCTCCCAGCATATAGGTATCCTGGCCTTGGCACATTTGTGCCGAGTAAATGTCCTTGCCTGCTCGATCCTCTCCATTTGTTTTCTCATAGCTACCCAGTATAGGGTACCCTCATCTCTGCCAGGGGGTAGAGCATAGGTTATTTTACTTGTCCCTTCTCGTCAGACACTGGGTTTCTCTACTTCTCTCCTTCCCTCTTCAACCAGCATACTGAGTCATGGTTACTGAAGTGTGGGTATGTGTGACCAGGATACATTCTCTTGTGTCAGCGTCCACACAGAGGAAAGAGGCTGGTAAATCGTAACTTGCCACATCCTTAAGAGAAAATGTCCACATCCCTAGAAAGTCAATGTGGTGGATCTCAGCACAACCAGAGAGGAGATACCTGGTACCCCTTTGAGTCAAATGAGTTGCTGCTCAGTAAAGGGTCTGTTACTCCATTCTGGAGGAGGATGCAGGCCTGCCAAAATACCCATTGATATCCCTCCATAGTCATGCAGGTCCAGAACTGAGGGGGAAACCTCTGAGTATACATGCCAAGGTAATGGCTGTGGCTCAGAAAAGAGACTGTGGAAGCTATCTTCAGTTTTCACCCAGTGCATTCTATATGAGCTGCTTTCTGACACCCCTGAATGACAATCTGTGCAATTTTTGAAGGATGAGTGAAGTTGATGTATTCACCCTGCTGTATTCAGAAGTTTTGGTTGACCCCAGAGGTAGTAGGAATAGTAACCAGAAACACTCGGTTGCTTGAGTGGGATGTACACAACATCCTGTTCCCCAGCACCGTGGTGGTTCCATACCGAATGAGCTCTCTCTCGTTGCAGGGGAGGCAGAGTGAAATGAAAGAGAAATGAAAACGAAGAAGCCAGTGCTGGTGCTTTGGGTGAGTGAGTGCTCGTTTTCTTTTTTCAAGAGAGTTTATTTTACCGTAGGAAAAATACAGTGATCGTGGTATTTCAGCAAGGCTCAAGAAGGAGAGACTCCCCAGGCAGGTTCCTGACACCAAGACACTTTTGTACAGTACCACAGTTTCAGCCATGGTAGAAAAGGCTCTCAAGTCAGTTCCTGATTGTGGAACAGGAAAAAGGAGATGCATGCATGAGCACCTAGATCATCTCTGTATATTACTTACAGTGATCCATATGAGGAATTCAAGGTCAGTGTCCTGCAGGACCAGGGAGAGTGGAAAGGGATTGGGCCTCAGCCTGACTTGGGCCCCAGTTCCTGTGAAGCCAACTACTAGATAACAGAACATTTGGCTCCCCACGTCACTCATGGAAGCAGCAGTCCCAGCGCCATGTGGGGAGAGGTCACTGGAGGCCTTTTCAGGAGAGCCAGGCCTGTAATGCCTGTTGCCATCTGCTTTGAGTGGATCTCTCCATACGTGTTCTTCCCATCATCTCCTGATCGCTCTTGGGTCTAGCTCGCTGCACCATGGCCTCCTGCCGGGTCAGGGAAAACTTGGGAACAAATGCTTGCTAGAATATTAAGAGAGTACATGTGCTAGGGGGTATGGGGTTTGGGGGAGCATATTAGGGCAGCCAAATATAGATCTCTCTGTGAGCTCTAATTTTCTTTCTTGACAAACCAAGGAACTTGGAAGCATGAAGTCTTCAGGAGGTGTACTTCCATTCCTCCAAGTGAAAATGTTGCGTGAAGGTATAACCAGAAACCAGACATCTTTTCTTTCTTCTTACTCAAGTGCCTTTATACAAATGCCATGAGGATGATACTTCCTACTGTAGCTCAAAATAATTGAAGGCTTCTGCAGGTGGGCTAGGGACCTTGTAGCACCACCATGCTTAGGTAGGGTTGGACACTAGTCTGGTCAAGGTTCCTGCCTTAGAAAAGGGCAGAGGCAGGGTCCAAGCAGCAAGGGCATGGTGCCAATTCTGTGGCAGCCCTGCTTTCAAAAGGAACTTGTTGGTCAGTCCTATGAGCCTTTCACAATATATCCTGGACAGAGCTGTGTGTTCAAGTCAAGTTCTTGTTCTAGGTTCTAGGCAGGAGGAAAGATGCCACCTGTAGCCTGCAAAAGGAGCATTGGGCCATGACACCCCACGCCTTCCCCAGTATGACTTTCTATACAACAGCCAAGGGACAGGGAAGGATTATGCTCCCTGATAACTGCCATATGGGAGAAAGAGGTAATGGGAACCTTGGGTGTGATTCACTGCGTGACTCCTGTTAAAAGTGACCAAAATTAGGGGTCTCAAGAGTTGAGGTTCCGGGGGGGGGTGGTGTGATGAGTGGATCAGTTGGTTGGGCGTCCAGTTCTTGATACTGGCTTGGGTCATGATCTGAGGCGCTCAGTGCGGGGAGTCTGCTTAAGATTCTCTCTCTCCCTCTTCCTGCCCCTCCCTGCTTGCATGCGTGTGCTCATTCTCTCTCTCTCTCTCAAATAAATAACATCTTTTAAAAAAAAGTTGAGATTCGAGGAGTCCCATGGAACATAAAGCCATGTGGAATTGCATAGACTCTGCCTGTGCACACACAGACTGCCGTGGAAACAGACAAAATGCCCCTGAAAGGGACACGCATCTCTCCTCAAGCGTGGGTCTGGAAGACCTCCACTCAGTCCTGGGGGTTCCTTAGGTATTGCTTTGTGCAACTCACTATAATTGAAAGTGTTACCAACACCCAGAGTATGACAATTTTAGATAGAGAAAGAGATAAATGCAAACTCAGAAAATAAGGAAAAAGAACAGAAGACAGTGTCATTGCCATTTCTTTTCAACACGGAGCATATGGTGAAGTGCTGTGCTTCTGGAGGTGGACATGTAGTTCTCTTCGAGTCCTCTGCCTCCTGTCCATATCTCACCTCATTAGGAGAGAGGTCTTTCAAACAATGTGTACCTCAGAAGCAGCATCTGCCCCTGCCTCTTTGTCTAAGAGCTATTGAAGCACTAAGAGGCCACTTAATATCACTGGCATGTCTCCAAACCTATTCCCCGGTTGACCACAGTGAAACAAAGGGCTTCTCCAGGAGCTAAAAGAAACAATAAGGTAGAAACTAGGTAAATCCCTGATACCTAACCACAACCAGGTGTTTACCATGCCCGATAGGAATATGAGACAATCAGAGATTGACCCAAATCCACGCTGAGGTGGCTTGCCATTTCACAAGTGGCACACAGCTACTATCCACACCAACTCCTGTGTGCCACCATTGACATTGAATCCCAGGGAAGCCCTGCAATAGACAGACACTCAAAAACCCTCAATCCTCTAGCAATAGGAAGTATACCTTTATTTTGCAGGATAGACAATACCCATTGACTACCACAAAACTTTCTGCCTGGCGGCCAGAGGCTGCCAGAGGAGGCAGGCATCTCAAAGTAACCTACCTACCTAAGGATGCCCTAGTCAGAATATGAGCGAGGGGAAACCTAGAAGTGATGAGAAGATACGACCCTAGGCCCATGACCACCATGCCGACTGAGGGACCCTGCAAACCAGCCGTGCAAAAGATGGAATCGTGGATGGGTTTATGTCCACTACCAGGAGTCCCCCTGAGCTTTGATTGGCATCCCCCTAGAGTTTTGGACACAAAAGCAAGCTGCGGAGAGCCAAAGGGAAAAAAGACACGGCTCCACAAACCAGAGAAGTAGTATGCTCCCCACAAGAGTGGCGGAGACATGGGAGCTGCCATGTTGGGGCCCAAGTGGCTGGACTTGGCCTTTTTTCATCGGCGAGGGGCGGAGGGAGAGGCCCTGGGGGAAGGGCCGGTTGGTGTCCGTGGAGCAATACTGCCATCAAGCGGAACTGCCCTGCGCATCCCGTGAGCCCACGGCCGTGGCGTGCCTGGGAGTGAAGGCGGAGCCCCAGGCGGGAGAGAAGGGGCCCGCAGTCCCAAGGTGCCTGGCCCTT